CTCGAGTAAACGCGCCGAGGATCGGGCCGCCCGAGGCTGCAGTCCTGCGCACGCCTACCTGGGAGTAAGCCCCTTGCATCCAAGGGGGCAATTCCTTGGAGTAAAATCAGGAGGGATGCGATGCCTGTGCAATTTAATTCTATATCTAAAGTGCAATAATATGGGAAAGTGAAGGAAATGTGAAACTCACCTCTCCTCTCTCTCACGTACGCACCTGTATACATGGCTCCCTTGCAAAGCATACACACCACAGCACACACACCCCGCAAATCTCCAGAAGTTTATGCACAACCCCAGACCTCCTCCTCCTCTCTCCCTCTTCACCAAGTCACCTTGAACCATCAAGGTCATGTTGACAACTCTACCTGCTCCAGTCTTGGCCGGAGAAGGTGAAGTCGGTGCGTACCTGGAAGGAGCCGGAGCCGTGTGCCCCCCCATCATAAACGGTCACTCCGTCGCCTTCCCGGGACGCACCGATTGCGCGCAAAGCCGGTCCTCTTCCTCTCTCGCCCCCAAACCGACACCCTCCCCACCCCCGGGGAGCTTCTTCGCCGACCTCTCTCTCTCTCTCTCTCTCTGGAGATCGCCTGCTTTCTTCTTTCTTCTCCCTCCAAGTCCTGGGCGCGTTTAGAGGCAGGCAAGCGCAACTCCTTTTCCGGATCGCTTCTCCCTTAAGGCGACGGGATCCTGGCTCAGGGAGGGGGCGGGTGTAAGAGGGTGTGTGTGTGTGTGTGAGAGAGAGAAGGTGTACGAGAAGGGGATGTAAAGCAGGCAGGTCTGTGACGTGAAAGTGTCTGGAGGGGGGGGGAAGGACAGAAATCTATCTTAAACAGAATTATTATTTCTTCCCCCTCTAAAGGGAGGGAGATCGCGTAAAGTTTTGGTGACACCAAGATTTAGGCTCTGATCTCCACTAAATCGCCCAGAATTGGAGATCAACTTTGAGCGATCGGTTTTTAGAGTCAGGGGGAGGTTGATGGATTCGAAGGTCCGTGGAATAAAGAGACCGGCCTTTCTGTCTGCGCGGAGAGCAGCCCCGATCCTATGCTCGGAGCCAAGCAACCCCTTGGGCAGCAAGCTCACCGGGTGACTTTTTGGGCGGAGGGTTTCCAGTTCAAACCAGTGCTCAGAGGCCGGTGTATTAGCCCAGGAACTTGGGTGGGGGCTTTCCCGTCCGTGGAGAGCCGAGCGAATGGGAGCAAAGTGAGAAGCAGTTAATTCGTGTGAACGCGGGACACGAACAACTGCGGTATTCCGGTTGTGTGCGTGTGAAAGAGCGGGCCGGATTGAGGGTGCTTCTGTGCCCACGGGAGTGGGATTTACCTGGCGCAGGTAAACACGTGCAGGGAGTACCTGCGTGGGATCCAGAGGCGGGAGAGAAAGAATGACTATCAAAGAGCGCGCATATGGTCGTGTGAAAATGTTTGGGGTGCTTAGGGGGACAAAAGCTGCAGGAATCTGTGGCTGCAGTCCCACGTGTCTTTATTTGCGTGTGAAGGTAGTCCAGGGTGGTCGCGATCCAGGCAGGCTCGCAACATATCCCTCCCTCCCCCCGAAACTTGAGCTCAGTGGGACACATTTCAAGGCCGGGGTGTTCACGTGTTTCAGCCCCGTGGGTCCCCACGATGGGACTTGTAGGGACAGGCTCAACACGTGTCTCGAGGTTGCAGGCCCACCGCGCTTTTAGTAAGGCACAACCCCTTGTAGACTCGATGGTGTGTGGGGGGGTTCTCCCGTGTCAGGCTTCACGCTCCTCGCCTTGAAACGCGCTCAGGTTGGGCTGCGTGGAGGGATGCACACGTCGGGGGTCACTGACACGCGTCGGTTTCTGCGGTGGCTTCCTCTCCTACTTCAGCTCCTTGCTTCAACCTGGAACCGAGACCTCTCGCCCTTCTGCATTTCCTAACCTTGCCGGTTCCTTTGTCTCCGTCACTTAAGCCTGACCTACGCCTCCCCCCCCCGCTTCCAGTTTCTGCCCCAGCTTCGCCGGCGTCTGTGCGGGGTGTGTGTGTGGACGGTTAAGCCAAGATCTGAGGCAGGCCGACACGACCCCCTTTCGGACTTCAGGAGAGAAAATCGCCTGGCGTTCTCCTTTCCTCAATCTGAGACACAAATAAATTGATAATAATAATTTGTGATCGCTGGCACCTGTTTGTCACCTTCCTCCTTTCCTTCCTTCCTTCTTCTTTCTTTCTTTCTCCCTCCCTTCTTTCTCCTTCTCTCTCCTTCTTTCCTTTCTTCCTTTTTTCTCCCCCTTTTCTCTTTCTTTCTTTCTTTCTTTCTTTCTTTCTTTCTTTCTTTCTTTCTTTCTTTCTTTCTTTCTTTCTTTCTTTCTTTCTTTCTTTCTTTCTTTTCCTTCCTATATCCTCTTCCTCCTCGCCATGAAGGCAAACTTTGGGAGACCTTTCGAACCCTAAACTTTCTCCCTTTCCCAAGTCACTCTCGGGTTTTTCCTCCCACCCACCCGCCGCCTGCACATCAAGAGGCCTCCCCTGCTCCCTTCGCCTCTCCCTGGTCTATATTTTGAGCCCTTAAACACGGGGAGGCGGAGGCTGTCTCCTCCTGCATTGTCAATTTCACCTCCCCCTTGTCTATTTCATCTATTGTGTCTGCCACCTTTTAAAATGCTTCACTTCCTTTGCCGCGTTTTAGGAGGGGGACCATACAATCATGTAATCTTCTCTCCCCCTCCCCGATCCACCTTCTACCTTATTATTACTATTGTCTTTTAAAACATTCTGCTCTCTCTCCTTTTAAAACTTAAAAAGTTTCTCTTCCTTATATGTTTTGCACGGTTCGCTGTTGCAGAAGGCGGCGTTGAGATGTTTCCCTTTTTCCAGCGGTTTAAGACATCAGGTTTTTCTGAAGTTCTGCAGCGTTCCCCTGAGAGTGCAACAGGTCACTCCCTACCCTGTATCCCAACTTTTCTGATATTTTAATAATTATTTAATTACTTCTTGGAGTAACGTTGGCGATGCTTGCTTTATGGGACGTCACGGTAAGATTCGAATACTTTGCCCCCCCCCCAATGACCTTGCTGTAACTGGCTAAAATCATGGGAGGCTGGAGGAATCAAAAGTCCATTAATTAAATTTCACGCGGGTCTCCTCGGAAGGAAGTCCCCATGTGTTAAAATGCGCATGGAACGGCAGCTTTAAATTCTTCCCAGGGCTGCCACGCTATGAATTCGGATCAGACGCCTCATCTCTACACAGAAGTCTCCTTTGAGGTCCCGAATTCGGTTCCCCCCCCTCCCAGCAAATGTGTATAAGGAGTGCATCTTTAACACACATTTCTTTCCTTTGCGAGGGAACATAAGCAAAGATTCCTATGCGGTGTGTGTGTGTGTCTGTGGCGGGGCAAGAACAGAGCGCTCATTTTCGCACCCATTCATTCGCTCCGCCGGTTCATTTCGCTCCGGTTCGATCAGCAAAACACGCGCCCGTCGGGGTTTTATTCCGAGTCCTTTAACACCGAGTTAAAGGACCAATTCATCGGAAGGAGCGCGGTCCAAGGATAGCAACCCGGACGACCCTAGGCGGAACCTCCACGATCAGGGGCAGTATACTTGTCCGCCGCCGTGTGTGTGTGTGTGTGTGTAACACACGCCCGCTCACCTCTGCTTCCCTCCGACCTTCCCCGGAAAGAGCTTGCTCGCTCGCAGGCATCACCTCGGCCAAGACCCCCCCCTCCCGGGACGACTTTAGCCCCCTTCGCCGCACCTTGCCCGATCGCCTCCCACGTTCCTTTTCTCAGCAGGTGGGGCGCGGGTGTGTGTGTGTGTGTGTGTGTGAATCCCCTTCAAGTGACGGGCGACCACCCCCAATGCATGCCCCCCCCAGTGCGCCGGACTTCCCCAGCCCTGCCTCCGCGCCCTCCTTACGCGCGCTCTCCCACCGTCTCCAAACTCTCTCCGGCGTGCCCAGGGATCTGGAAACACTCTCTCTTCCTCCACACACACACCTTCTCCCCCCCCCAGCCCACGTGCCTTTCTTTCTTTCCTTCTTTCCCCTTTATTTTGGGGGTGTGTATGTGTGCGTGTCTCTCTCTC